AATAATATCACCTGGTTTTTCTTTTACCATTGTCTTTGTTAGTGTGACTTTGTTATTTGATTTATTCCTTCATTATCATTGCTATTTTTGATTAGGTGTATGGTGGAGGGGAGAGGCAACAAAGATATATAGATTTTGACATATTGAATAAAAAATCCACTCTTTATTTATCACTCCATAGATGCATGATGGATAGATAAATAGACCTATAAATCTATTTGTTGATAGACATACATAAAGTTAAAAAAAATTGGCAAAATAAAAACTAAAATGTTAACATTATCTATATTGTTGGCTTATCAATTTTTTTTTTTCACTGTAATATCTTCTCAGTATTGAAACGGCAACCTACAGAATGTGAGAAAATATTTGCAAACTATATATCTGGCAAAAGATTAATATCCACTACATATATAAGGAACTCATACAACTCAATAGAAAAAAAAAGGTAATAAGCCAATTAAAATTTGACTAAGGACTTGATCTAGACATTTCTTCTAAGAAGATATACCAATGGCCAATAGGTATATGAAAAAAATGTTCAATGTCACACTAATCATCAGGAAATTGCAAATCAAAATCACAATGAGATATCACCTCACAAGTGTCAGGATGGCTACTACCAAAAAAACAAAAGACAAGTGTTCGCCAGGCTATGGAGAAATTGGAACCCGTGTGCATTCTTGGTGGGAACGCAAAATGGTGATGCTGCTATGGAAAACAGTATGGAGGCTCATTGCAAAATTAGAAACTAAACTACTATATGATCCTAGCTTCTGGATATTTATGCAAAAGAATCGAAATCAAGATTTCAAAAAGATATTAGCATTCTCATGTTCATTGCCGAACTGTTCACAATAGTCAAGATGTGGAAACAAGCTAAGTGTCCATGAATAGATAAATGGATAAAGAAAATGTGGTATATACATACAATAGAATAAAATTTAGCCTTAAAAAAAGAAGGAAATTCTGCAATATGTGACCACATGGATGAAGCTTGAGGACATTATGCTAAGTGAAAT